CGATTTTTTGAAAAATCGACTGACTAAGCCAGCTAAGCCGATTTTATCGACTAATGCAAAATCGACTACAAACACTATTCAAAAACACTAAATCTCCATTTTCTCAAAATGGAAACCCCCCTTCACAGGGAGGTTTTGCTAGTCCATGACCCATATACGCACATTCTATTTGTAAGTATGTATAACTTGTTTGATCTATGAGCATTTGATGTCCGACTAATTATAAGAATTTGAATATCAAAAGGAGTTGGACCTGTAGCTGTAATAAATCATAAGTTTATTTTCGGTATTTAAAATATAAAAAATGCCGTAATGCCTAAATCGAACCGAATTTAGACAACTTGTATAGGGTAAACTAGTACTTATCTAGTTGAAGACCAGACTTTTTACCCATCCCTAGTCGAAATTATTTCGGCATTTAGGCATTTTGAAGCAGCATGCCGAAAATATAAAAAATGCTAATGCCGTAAATCGACCCGAATTTAGGCACCCATGTATAGTTGCAAATAGTTTTTTTCTATTTTCCGCACATAAAAAGTCTAAATTGTGCGGCATCCGTACAGTAAATTTTACTTGAAAAATTAACACTGGACGTCCCCCAAATTTGTAAATCAATTATAAAGGTGCACCATGTACTAAATACTAAAATCCAATATATTTTACAGTTTTATTAGATCTTCAAAAAATTAAATTTATAGATTAACCAATCAGAATGCAGAATTACATATGCATCAGAAAGTAAATGAATTAAATGAATTAAATGTCATAACTCAAACCATGTCACATGACAATAAATTGTTGCAATCAATACATTGATCCGTCCCTGACGCCCAGTGAGAGTAAATAAGATAATTCAGAAATCCTGTTTTAAGTATATCGATTAGTATAATGTTACTTTTTCCAATTTTAATGATTTCTTTTTCTTCAATATTTTCTCCTCCCTCATTCATTTTTTTATCAAGAATCCTTTCGATCCTGATTTTTATAGCATTATCCAAATTGATTCCGTTTTCACACTTTAATTCTTTTAGTTTGTCATCAATTAAACTTTCTATTGAGTCTTTGATTGTTCCTTTGTCGTGTTTAAATTTACAAAAATATGCAGATTCACCCATGGGTATAACATAGTAATATAAATTCTCATTATTCTCATTCTCATTATTCTCATTATTCTCATTATTCTCATTCTCATTATTCTCATTCCAAACATACAGATATTTCGCATCATCAACATATCCAACTTTGAAATGTTTTAACTTAACACCTTCTTCAAACTCAATATAAATTTCTTGAAAATCATTAATATCTTTAACTTCAATTCCTGCATAAACCTTGTCGCCGTGACCATGCTTCTGAATATCTTTAATTGTTCCTTCGGTAGAAAAAAATGACGCGATTGACCGGGTCAAAACGAGGATAATAATAGAGGTGAAAATTGAGTCAAAATAACTTTCTGTGCAAATATAATTATATTCAAAAGATAATTTTAAGATAGAAAGAAAAGTTATGAGAAAGAAGACTCTTTTATGAATGAAATAGGATTTATTTTTGGGTGGACGAAAATAACCTAAAACTAAAAATGATGTTAAGATGAAATAAGCTAAATCTATAAAATAATTTAGACCTAATGTATCAAGTAAAACTGAGAGAGGCAACGTGTTAATCTTCTCAAAAAAAAAGCTTTCCATAAAATCATAACATATAATTTGAATCGAATGAAAAAAATGAGCAAAAACGATGGAGGTTATTAAACGTGATCTCTTATGTGGTTTTCTCTCTCCCTCTTTTGGCAACCAGGAATGGCTATTACTTTTATAATGATAAATGGCGAGCACTATCAAACCAAAAATAAAAACAATATCTAATCCAAGAATTATAACCCAGATATATGGATCGATATTTGTCAGAAAATAATTACAATGAAAAGCTAAGTCAAAGTTGTTATCGTTACTGATGGCTACACACATTAAAGGCACATACCAAAATGGTTTAGCGAGAGTGTACCAAGGCAAGATGGGAGCCAAAGAACTAATGAGAATGACATTATCATCAATCCTGCAGGTTTTTGAATAGCTAAATATAGACTTTGTACCATAAATGGCTATGGTAAAAATAAGGAATGCGATAGAGATGAGAACCTCGGATTGGGAAAAAAAGGTAGTGTGTAAATTTAAGTCAGAGTATTCTGCGGGAGGGCAGATAAATTGTTGAGAAGTTTCATTATACTGCGGAAATGTTACCGGAAATGATATAGCTTTTGCTAAAGGAAAAAGGCCAAAGACAAGATAGAAAATAAAAATTTTTTTAAGAAACTTTAGTCTTAAATTTTTCAAATAATTTCTTTCAATCATCGAACTTATTGATAATAGGGATAAGAACTACAGTAATAAGTCAAGAAAAAATCTGTATTTAATAATTAAAATAAAAGAATCCAAAAAAATTGCATGTTATGAAAAAAGATCGAGCGAAGAATTACAATACGAAAGCAAAATAAATAACATTTATACCTTTACCATTCCATAACTCATCATTATCATTCCTGTAAATAAAATTCTAATGATCTATCATTTGGACAAATTACTCTTTCAGAATTTGGGTTTTGAAAAATCGCATATTTTAAGACATATGTCCGTATGCCTATGTATGAGTGCTGCAAAACGTAAATAGCGAATTTATTCATATTATAATATGATTAAATATTTACTTGCAAGCAATCTATAAAATATTGGCTCGATTAGGGTTAATATCGGGTTAATTTAGGGTTGGTGTTAAATTCTTATTTTTCGGTGAATTACTGTTGGTGAATTGATATGTTCTACGTGTATTACGTAGTGTTGGTTGTATAGTAATGATTTTTAATCAATTTTTTAATTAGCGATTGTGTAAAAACTTAGTAAAAACATATAAAATTTCTCTTGAACTTTAAATACGTATAAGCAAATAAAAATTATATTTATGGCCATTTACGGTAAATACTATTGGGACAGTGATCTACTAGCATCAACAAAATCATACTCTAACCCTAACCCTAAATAGGCCTAACCTAATACTAGCTTAGGCCGAGGTTACCTGTTCTTGAAACGACCATACAATTTACCGTAAATGGCCATATACAAAATCCGGGTCTAGAACAATTCAGTAGTACACCATTTGGGAATTTCGTCTGCATTGTTCCATTGCTACATTGGGACATCCATTTAAGCATTTATCCATTTATCTATTGGATATAGATATCAGATAATAGTTTAAAAGATGAATATCCGAATTATTCGATAAATTATTCGGATTATACGCTGTTATGCAGAAGATGGTTATTACCGTTATCATAGAATAATAATTACTATTACAGATTAAAATTGATAACGGTCAAAACCGTTATAACGGTTTAAACTTCGACTTATTACTATTAAACTTGATAACGTCCTTAACAGATGATCCGGTTGAATCTGTTGGGTATCTTATCTAATAAGATAGATATCCGAATTGTAACATGTGGATAAATACCGTAGATGAGAGGCCGCAAATATTTTTAACCAAAAATCCGTGGATTTATCC